AAATACAGACCCGATCTCTGCTCATAAACCAATCTTGTCATCTCGAGGATTAATGTGGTGAACCTCCATTGTATTACCTCATGGCTACCAAAATTATACACCATACATATGGTACTACAGATTTGTCAGGCATGACTGCCGCTTGATGAAGCTGTTCTGACTCAACCCTATTTTACCACGCACTTCCAAGTACTCTGCAATCTTATCCCTAAAAATGAACTTTAAAATCTTATCAGTGACCAAGGTCATGCTAACCAGCGTGTAGTTTCCCGTCTTCTGCCCCCCTTCCTTTTTAAACAGGGTTGTTAGATTAGCAGTTTTGCAATCTTCTGGCACCCTTCCTGACTCCAGTGATTCGTGAAGAATCACGTCAACGCCTCTGCAATCTTCTCAGCTGTTTCCTTCAGAATCCTGGGGCAGCACGGTGACTCAGTGGTTAGCGCTGCTGCATCACAGCGCCAGTGACCCAGGTTCAGTTCCATCCTCAGGCGACTGTCTGTGTGGAGTTTGCACATTCTCCCAGTGTCTGTGGGGGATTTCTCTGTGTGCTCTGGTTTCCTTTCACAGTCCAAAGATGTACAGGCTAGGTGGATTAGCCATGATGGATGTGGGATTACAGGTCTGGATGGAATGCTCTTTGGAGGGTTGGTACATGCTTGATGGGCCAAATATCATCTTTCCACACTGTAGGGATTCAGTCCATCTGGTCTGTGTTATTTATCCACCTTCTCCTTACTGATGGCCACTACACTCACCTCTGCCCCTGACTCTCTTGAAGTTCTGGTATGTTGCTGGTGTCTTCCACTGTGAAAACTGATGCAACATACCTGTTCAGTTCCTCTGCCATTTCTTTGTTCCCCATTACTACTTCTTCAGCCTCATCTTCCAATATTCCAATGTCCACTCTTGCCTCTCTCTTACCTTTTAAAAACTAAAATAAAATTCTTGCAATCTTCTTTTATATTACTAACTAGCTTACTCTCATATTTCATTTTCTCCCCTCTTATTGCTTTTTTAGTTATCCTCTGATGGTTTTTAAAGGCTTCCAAATCCTGTGGCTCCCTGCTAATCTTCACCACATTACATGCTTTTTCTTTTGCCTTTATGCTGTTCCTGACTTCCCTTGTCAGCCAGGGTTGCCTCATCTTCCCCTTACTGTGTTTCTTCTTCCTTGGGATGAATTTCTGTTGTGCCTCCTGAATTACCCCCAGAAACTCCTTTCGTTGCTGCTCCACCGTCTTCCCTGCTAGGCTTCCCTTCCAGTTGACTCTGGCCAGCTCCTCTCTCAAGTCTTTGTAGTTACCTTTTACTAAATTGTAATACAGTTACATCTGATTCCAGCTTCTCCTTCTGAAATTGCAGCGTGAATTTTATCATATTATCATCACTGCCCTCTAGGGGTTCCTTCACCTTAAGCTCCCTGATCAAGACTGCCTCATTCCATACCATCAAATCTAGAATTGTCTGTTCCCTAGTGGACTCCACCACAAGCTGCTCCAAAAAAAAATCTCATAGAAATTCCACAAATTCCTTTTCTTGAGATCCACTACCAACCTGATTTTTCCCAGTACACCTGCACATAGAAGCCCTCCATGATTATTGTGATAACACCTTTCTTACATGCCTTTTCCATTTCCTGATTTATTTTCCTCTCCACATCCTGGCTACGGTTACTAATCTAGTCCCATCAAAGTCCTTTTCCTTTATGGTTCCTCAACTCACATAAATTCTAGACCTTCTGACTCTATGTAGATTTCTTGCTATTGATTTAATTTCATTTCTTTCTGATGAGGGAGCCTATGTCTCCATGATATCTACAGCATTGTACCTGCCAATTTCAATCTGTGGATCAAGTTCATTGACCTTGTTCTGTATACTGCATGAATTTATTTACAACATCTTCAGGCCTGCATTGACTGTCTCCTCTCATAGTTGTCCCCTTATCTGCTTTCAGGTTCCCTCTGAGATGAATGTGTAGACTGTCCTCATGACAAACCAGCTTTTCACAGTAGTTTTCAAATAAATGTTTGCCCTAGTTTTTGTGTGCGTGTGCGCGTGTGTGCGTGTGTGTTAGTTAAATTTTTACAATAGCTCCTTCTCCGATTACTGATGATCACTGTTAACACTGTTAATTACTCCTGGCATCTGACTAAGGGAAAAAAGGGATGTCGAAAGCGTCATTAAAGCCTGGAAGATTATGTTATAGAAAATATGACCTTCCTTCTGTGCACATTTTCCCATTTGCCCCTGGAATTTAACCCCATCATTTTGAATGAACAGTTACCTCAACTTAGTGACCTCTTGGATCATTTTCTTTCTGATTATTTGCACTGCACCATTCACTATTCAAAGGAATAGAATTTTCATTTGTAACCGCCTGCATTGTTAGAATGGCAAAGCTTTTACAAATAAATAGATAGGAAGGTTGTTGCTAAAGTAATTGCTGACCTCTTAGACTGGCATTTAATATAGTAATGTCAGTGACTTTGAACAAGAATTTTGTGTCAGTCTTACTGGGAGAAGACACAGAAAACATGTCAACAATGGCAGAAAATCAAGAGCCTAAAGGAAGGCAAGAATTTAAAACAATCAATGGCTCTGAAGAAATGGCAATGTAGCTCCAATTTGAGATGATGTGGCTTGGAGGGGATCCTGGAGGTAGTGTTGTTCCCATGTATCTGCTGCCACTACATTCAGAGAGATTTCATCATGTTGCAGCACAGTCTGTCCTTCTACATGCATCACAAAGTTAGCATGCAGGTACAGAAAGACGGCAAAATTAAGAAGGCAAATGTAATATTGGCCTTCATTGCCTGGAGGATGGAGTATCCTTACTGCAACTGTAAAAAGCCCATTGGTGTGACTACTCCCCAAGTAGTCTATGGTTTTTTATGCCTTACACAAAGAGTGATATTTCTACATTGAAACAATTCAGAGAGGGTAGACTGGACTGATTCCTGGATGAAAGGATTTTCCTTGAGTAAATATTGAGCAAATTAGGCCTATAGCATTGAAGTTTAGAAAAGTGAGAGATGATCTTATTACGTATAAGATTCTGAGGGAGGCTCAACATGTTAGTTTCTGGGAGAATGCTTTGTCTCCTGGGAAAATCTAGGCCAAGGGAGCACTGTTACAAAATAAAGAGGTCTCCTCTTTAATGTAGCAGGCCATTATTCTTCTGAATGCTCCTCCACACGGAGTAGTGGAGGTCATTGGATCATTCCAGAGTGGAGGTGGACAGGTTTTTGAGTGGAGTGGAAGGCTTTAAAGAACACCCAGCAACAGTGGAGTTGAAGCCAAAATATGATAAGCTGTGGTCTTCTTGAATGCTGGAGCAGGCTTGGTGGCCTGATCAGCCTTAAGCTGCTCATATTCCTTCTGAAGGGTTGTGTTTAGGAATTCCTCTCATTCTCAGAAAGTTGAGCTCCAGACAAGTCCACAAATCCATCTAGAACCTAATAGAGGATATATGCTTTTGTGAGCTATCTTTGAATATAAAGGCTTTCTTCATGATGGATCACTGCACATAAAAAGAAGGTAGTCTTTAGATACTCAAATAATAAGGATTATTTGCATATATCAATTTGCACATCAACATTATTAGCAATAAATTCATAGAATCCTTACACTCCAGAAAGAGGCCATTTGACACATCGAGTCAGCACAAACTCTTCATAGAACATCCCACTCAGTCCCATCCCCCTAGCCTAACCCCATAACCCTACATTTCCCATGGCTAATCCACCTAACCTGCGCATCCCTAGTCCTACAGATAATTTAGCAATCCACCTAAACTGCATGTCTTTGGACTGTGGGAGGCAACCCATGCGGGGAGAATGTGCAAACTCCACACAGACAGTCACCCAATTGAACCTGGGTCCCTGGTGCTATGAGGCAGCAATGCTAACCACTGAGTCACTGTGCTGCTACATTGCTACCTATCATATACCTTGATTGCTTTACAGTTACTTGGGAAGACGCAAGTCTGCCAAGGTTTTTCAATGATCTATTACATGGATGGTATTCACAAGATGCCATTAAAAAGTTGAAAGTTTATGTGAATACTTTGGCAGAGACAAGTCGTAAATGTGCAAAAAAGGTTGGCAGGCAGCACACTATAAATTTTGTGGCAATGAATCTTGAAGAATATAATGGAATTGCTAAGAATGAATCTTGAGATGCCAGAGTGAAATACATGTTTGACAAAAGGCTACAGTAGTGATGCAGTAGCTGAGGTCAAAAACCACTCATATAACCTGACAAAAAGTACAGGAAATTCTCAGGAGTTGCTTCTGCTCCCTCATCTCATCAAAGCTATGTCATAAGACCCCTCAACACAAGATGTGGTTACCCTAAAACATAACAATGCCTCAGTAAAACTGTAAACCAAATACAGTTGGTGGTCTGATTTTAGTCTTTACAGCAACAGGAGGAACAAATTAAATGATTCTTTAGAGTCATACAACAAAGAAATAGGCCTTTCAGTCTACCAAGTCTATCCTAACCATTAAACACCAAACTACGCTCATCTCATATACCTACACTTGGCCCATAGCCAGAGATGGTTAGCAATAAATGAGGACTAAGATTAAAAATAACTGAGAAGTTCTTTACAGTTTACAGGACGGGTTACCATCATTTTCAATGGCCATGAAGATGATTTCCTATCTTAATAACTGCACCTTACGATTTACATTGACTTTTTTGACAATATCCTTGTATACTTGATTTTTAAAAATGTCAGAAGAATTGCATTACGAATAGTGCTGCTGTAATTCCTGTAAATATGTTTTGAGCTCTTGTGCATGTAGACGCCTAACTCCAAGCAATCCCAGTTCTGAAGAATGGTCACTCGACTGGAAACGTTAACTCTGATTTCCCTCTGCAGATGCTGCCAGATCTGCTCAGTACTTTTTTCCATCAATTTTTGCTTTGTTTCCGAGCAATGCCAGTTTGAGCCTCTGATTTTTTTTGTTTGTTTGTTTGCTAATGTCTTCTAGATGGATGAGCAGGCTATGTTGGAAGACACTCTGGTTGCATTGCCTGACTTGGAGAAGGTCACGTTCTATCTGCAACAGTGTGAAGAAGAACTACTAGTAGCAAGTAAGGCATTTTCTTCCCAATGTGCAACAATAAATACAGCTCTATTGAAATCTTGTCAAAGAGGTTAACTAGTGCTCAAATAAGTGACTCATTTGGAGCCATATTATTGAATCATTAAACAGTACCTGTATTGGTTTTAAGAGATTCCTTTGCTGAGGTGGAGCCTTAAAGACATACAGTTTTGTTTAAATAATAAATAATCTATTGAATAGATGGACATATTATTAGGTGCAGGAGGAGGTCATTCAATCCCATCGAATTTGCTCCACTAATTAATAAGATTACATTTGATTTGATTGAGGCAGCAACTTTGCTACGTCTCTCTGATACCCTCTGCCTCTGTTGTTAGTCAAGAATTTCTCTGCCTCCGCCTTAAAAATTGTTCAACAAGACTGTCTGTCTCTGAAATAAATCCACGAAGGCCGGTATCCCGTCACCAAGTCATCCTTTATTTACACGTACACACTACATGACACCGACTCATCTAGCTCGTTCCAGTGCCTCTGTTTGGGATTATGTCCTGAGTGAGGTTATGCAATTGCCTTCACTCAAGTGGTGTTCCCCAAGCTCAGTCAGATTGGTGAGGGTGTTCTCTTCCATCGTTTTACCCTGTAACTTATAAGCTTCGCTTGCTGCAGTTTCTAATGACAAAGCCAATCGTGGTGCCTGTTTGAAGTCCAGTTGGCCTTCAGCTAGTAGGCACATTTGCACAGTCACATCATTAACCCCACTCTTGTCACCACCTAACTCCATGAAGGCCAATATCTAATCTTTTATTTGCATGTGTATGATATGACGGCCTCCACTGTTCTTTTGGGAAGAGTGTTCCAAAGACGTATGACCCTCTGCAGTCAAAAATTCTCCGAATCTCCATCTTAAAGGGGGAACTGCTTATTTTTAAACTGTGTACCGTGGTTCTTTTATGTACATTAAGGGGAAACATCCTTTCAGCATTCTCCCCGTCATGTGCTGTCACCATCTTCTATGTTTAAAAACGATCACCTCTCGTTTTTCTAAGTTCTAATGGATTCAGTTGAAATGTCTATTGCCCAAAAATTGATACTGACTTCCTTTTGTCTGAATTCTGTAGTATGAGGCACTTAACAGCTGAAATGATCGTGAGATAAGTTTCAGCCAAACAGGATATGAAGGACTGTTCCTGGGAGGAACAGTGTTATGGTCCCAATCATCAGTGTTAGGATAATGTGGCTATCAATAAATTTGCACATCCTTTAAGTTGAGCCTGATGTCTCACAAGAGCTTATCGTGTAACTTAGATGTATTGTAACTAGCTATTAAATACTCTGGCCCAATCAGTGAGGTCCAGTCCTATGGCTGAATTTAAGAAAAAGCCTGAATCAGCTCAGAAACTCAATACCATTGACCAATGTGACTGCACTCAATAAGAAGGAGACTTTATAGGTTTCTGAAGAATGTTTGCTGATCCCAAGAAAATATCCAAAATTAATTATTTTGAGGTACATTGACTCCTCATGACTGAGACATCAGATGATACAACTGATTTCACAAGTTTAGAAGAATTATTCCATTATCTTCCAAATAAAAACAAATATTTAAACACTGATCATCAGTATCCTTGACACCATAACCATCCCAAGTTAGGGATTAACACTTGATCCAATCAGTTCAGGTGTTCAGAAGAGGCAGTATCAAAACAACAGTTAGCTTTATGTCAATGATTTAACCTAAAAAAAAGACTCCAAATGTGTTCATGCAAGATTGGAAGAATTACATGAGAGCATACCTCATTAAAATGGCAGACGGAGAGGATTACTTTCAGAGTCACTGATATCTGTGCTGGGAGAATTTGAGATTTCCAACCCAAACAAATAGAGACTTGTTGGGGAGTGGGGTAAATCTACTTTGTTTTTCAAAACCATTTTATACATAATCGAAAATCTAGGAAACCAGTTTGGAGGGTGATGTTACATGAGGCAGTTAATACCTGATTGAGTTATTTGACATCATGAGGTAAGCACTGTCCAACAGTCTATTAGAGACTGTTCCTAGAAAGAGCTAACCAGGGGCCATATTGCAAGACCAGTTGTCAGTGCTAAGATCAATGTAACTAACAGTTATGTTACTTAATTCTAAACTGACTCTGATGATTCACAAGAGACTGCAATGCAATGTAACTTGCTAGTAAGTGCTAAGTCATAGACCCATTCAGTTGATCAAGATTGAGCTTATCTTCTGCCAAAGACTTAGAGTCATCTTTCCCCAGTCAGTGTCAGTAACTCAGGCAAGGATTGACAGCACCATCCAAGGCATCTCAAATGGTTTTGGTGATCATGACCACACCATATAGCACGCTACCAGAGGAGTGGAGTTCATCATTTTGGGGAGGCAATGGCCTAGTGGTATTATCACTGGAATGTTAATCACGGCAGATGGTGGAATTTGAATCAAAACCTGGAATTACTCATCTAATGTTGACCGTACAGCCTCCAATCTCTAAGGCTGTGGCCATTCTGCATCTACTGAGTAGTATCTCTTACATGTCCTGGCAGACTGGAGTTCTGCTGATTGGGTATAATTGTAGAATGTATAAAATGACACTACTATTTCCATTGTGAATTGAAATGATTAACTCCCCCTGACAATTTTGCCTGGCTGTAAAGTGATTGAGACTGATTTAATGCATATCACTTGGGGTGGCAGGGTGGCGGGTTGGCATGGTGGCTGAGTGGTTAGCACTGCTGCCTTACAGCACCATGGACCCAGGTTCAATTCTACCCTTCAGTGTTTGTCTGTGGTTTGCACATTTTCCCCGTGTCTGTGTGGGTTTTATAGAATCCCTACAGTGTGGAAACAGGCTTCAGCCCATCAAGTCCACACCAACCCTCAGTGCTTCCCACCCAGATCCATCCCTTAACCCTTTCCCTGTAACTCACCTCATCTACACATCACTGAATGCTATGGGCAATTTAACATGGCCAATCCACCTAACCTGCACATCTTTGGACTGTGGGAGGAAACGCATGCAGACACAGGGAGAATGTGCAAATTCCACACAGACAGTCACCCAAGGGTGGAATGGAACCCGGGTCCCTGGCGCTACGAGGCAGCAGTGCTAACCATTGAGCCACCGTGCTGCCCTCTGGGTGTTCTGGTTTCCAAAGGCATGTAGGTTAGGTGGATTAGCCATGGGAAATTCAGGGCTGCAGGGATAGGGTAAGGGGGTGAGCCTGGGTGGAATGCTCTTCGGAGGGTCAGTGTGGACTCGATGGGCTGAATGGCCTGCTTCCACAATGAAACTTGTAGCTATCCTATGTTACATTTTGCTGGAAAAATCATCTTGCTCTTGTTGGAAGAATTTGCAGCACTTTTTTCATAAGCCTTGCTTTATGTTGCTTATAGATTCTTTTTACATGGAGTCTGTGAATAGGTTTGGTTTGATTTGCTGTTCACTAAGTAAACAGCTGTGTAGCTGTAAAATAAACCACCTGCTGTACACCACATTCTGCCTAAAGCTCAGTGTTTTATAAAATGCAGCTCATTCGTTGACACTATCCTACTGAAGTCCATTGCAAAGCAATACTCTGTGTCATCCTTGAGTGCATTCACAGACTGTTACTTGTTGATAAACAGCTGTCCCTCAATTTGAGAGTAACATGAACTTTAGGGTGGAGTCTATTTGTATTGGATCTTCAAATGACAGAACATGATGCCTCTCAACTGACATGGGAAGGGTCTCCCTGAGGTAGTGGGATTCTGAGTGCAGAATCTGCTTCCTTTCCTTTCCTTCCTGGTACTGCGTGTCATTGTTAAGGAGTTTGGACCTAAGTGATGAAACAGTTTGATGGACACGTCATTTTGAGAAATTGGTAGCAAGCTCTTTCCCAGTTACTAATACCAATGTTACCATACTTCAAGAAAGATTCATGGTGTTGTAGAAAGGTTTACTTTATCTTCCGTGGAATGCTGGCTCATGGACAATAGAGAGAACAGGATCTGATGGTGTCCAGTCCATTTGGAAGGGGTTTTGCCTGAATGGTTGTGGAGCTGAATTCAAGAACAACACAGTGTTTCCGTGATGGACCTCCTATTGAATTCAGAAGGTTCAGCTGAGACATTACTGATCGAAGTTCTCTCGCACTCTTCTGTGTTGCTGATATATATTTCAGGTCTCACTGCAGTACAGGAACAGTGGCTACTTCTCACCATTCCAAGATCATTGTGGAATGTAAATCAAACTGTTGGCTTTTTTCACCTTTTGTAAACTCCACTCTCCTGCATCCTCCATTCACATTTTAAGAAGCTCTGTACACGAGAAGTGTTTGTTGTCTTGAATTGTTTCTTGCCAAACACGTGCTACAGTCACTTGACAAAGACTGAGCTGGCCCAGCAGGTCCATGTCAGATTTCCTTCTCAAGGCTCACCCTTTGAAAGGGGCAAATTACAAGTTATGGCAAGTGCACAACATATTCTTGAGTGTCTCCTTCAGCATATAGTGGAGGCTTCAGTTGATAAATGAGTTTCGTTTTGACAACATTCAAGGACAAGCCAAGTTTTTTTGTATGCAAAAATTAAGAGATGGAGAGTATCTTACAAATCTGATACAGTGACATTGCAGTCATCTGTAAACTGTAGATCATGTATCTCTATGGAGGTCAGTTTAGGTCTGGCATGAAATGTTAGAGTCCTCTACTTATACAGCAGTTAATATGCCAGTGGACTATGATAAGGTGAACATCTTTAAGGAGAATAGCCACTGTCAGATTACAAGTAGGACGTGGGCTCTCACACAACCTTGCTTGACACTGGACCGGATTTTAAAGGCATCTGTTTCAGATCTCCCACTCAAGACATTTGCAGGACTGAGATGAAGCATTGTTGACATCCAAATCATTGGAACACAATCCTCATGCTTTAATGAGCCAAATGCTTTGGGCAAGTTGATGAATGCAATGAAGCGTTTTGGTGTCGTTTTCAGTATCTTGCTTGGATTACCTGGTGAAAAAGTCTATGTTGGAACTTCCTTTGTAATGTTCTTGACTCCACACTGTGTCTCTGGAAGGATTTCCTCAGTCACAGGAGTTCGCAGATTCTTCAGAATGAGCATCAGGATTTTCGCTTCACTTCCCAAACATTTCTGCCCTCATTTGTCACTGTTAAAACTTCTGTTTTGTATTGTTGTCTGTGACCTGGATGTATCCAGGCAGTTTCACAACAACAGCCAACTCCTGCACCTATTTCTTAGGTTCTTATTTTGGATACAGTCCATGCTTCCAAATTGGTTTTATTTAATGAATCATAGAAAATGTTGATTTTGAAATTTCTAACCCAAACATAAGAAAATGTTCATTCATTGAAATAAGTCCTGATCTTCTGAGTAACCAGCACCTGTTATTAACCAGTTGCTCACAGAAGTAACTAAGAGTAATAAAATCAAATTATATTCCCATTTGGGAGGTTTGCCTGCCAAGAAATTCTCAATGTTTGCCTACGTGATGATAATATGTCTAATTTTTTAAAATTGCTTTTATTGTTTCGCAATACTTATTGATGCAATCATTTTTATAAATTGCCTACTCAAGGTATAGATGCAGACTATTCCTTTCATAGAATCATACAGTACAGAACAGGCCCTTTGGCCCATTGAGTCTGTACTGTCAAAAATATACCATGGGTTATATTCGTCCCACTTCCCTGAACCAGGCCCATGGCCTTGAATGTTATGACATTTCAAGCAGTCATCCAACTAGGCTTCCTGCCTTAAATACCCTTCCTGGCAGTGTCCCACCACCCCCTGGGTGAAAAATCTTTAAATCCTCTCCAAACCTACACCCTTTCCCTTTAAAATTATGACATCCCTTCAACTTCAATTTATCCTCCAGCTAACAACAACAGCTGCTTTCTATTCACCCTGTCCATACCCATTATAATCTTATACACAATTCCCCCCTCAACCTTCTGTGCTCCAAAGAAAACCATCTGAGCATATCTAGCCTCTCTTTATCGCTGAAATGCTGCATCCCAGACAACATCTTCTCTGCATCCCCTCCAGTGCAATCACAATCTTTGTCCCTTGTCAAATGAAATGGAAAAATATGAATAACCTGAAAATCTTGTTTCATTTCAGTTGTTCAGAAAACCATAGCGCAAACTGACATAAGCAGTGAAAGGATTGAAAAATAGTACAATTAAAGGAGTAATGAAACACCAGTAGTTACTGCAGCATAAAAAGTGACTGCTGATAATATAAACAGCAACTACTCTGTACTCTGGTGTGGAAAAGCATCTTTTGCAAAGAAATAAAAATTATTGGAATCTGAATGGAAACTTTTACTTACAACAGTATTCAAACAATATTTTAACCCTGGGGTGGCACAATGGCTCAGTGGTTAGCACTGCTGCCTTACAGCGCCAGGGACCCAAGTTGGATTCCACCCTTGTGTCTGTGTGGAGTTTGCACATTCTCCCCGTGTCTGCATGGGTTTCCTCCCACAGTCCAAAGATGTGCAGGTTAGGTGGATTGGCCATGCTAAATTGCCCACAGTGTCTGAGGAAGGGTCAACCGGACCCGAAACATTAACTCTGTTTTTTCCTTCACAGATGCTGCCAGACCTGCTGAGCTTTTCTAGCAATTTCTGTTATGTTCCCAGGGATGTGCAGGCTGGGTGGGTTAGTCATGGGGAAATGTAGGTTCAAGGGATGGGGTAGGCTGCTGTCTGTAAGGGCCGGTGTGGACTCATCGGGCCAAATGGCCTGCTTCCACACTGTAGGGATTCTATGATTCTATCTGCCTGCTACAAACCATGGTAAACATCAAGCAATGAAAATTGCCACAAAAACAGAAATAGCCGGAGAAACTCCAGAGGTCTGGCAGTATCTGTGGACAGAGAAACAGAGTTAATGTTTCGAGTCCACTGGCCCTTCAGATCTCAAACTGCTAGTTGAGTTCATTAACCAACGTCTTGAGCCTTGCACTGTTGAGATCAGGATAGTTCACTGCTTGTCTCTTCCCTTTACCGGAGTTAAAACCAAGTTCTACCTTTAAAGTGAGGAAAATGTGTTGTATTTTAGTTTATCCATGAAATGTTGACATGGCTAGTGAGGCTGACATTTATGATGCTTCTCTAACTGCCCTTGAAAATGTGGTGGTGAGCTGTTTATTTGAGCTGCTGCTGTTGTTAGGGTGACACCAACAGAGATGTCAGGAAGGGGATTCCAGAGTTTGGACCCAGCCACACTGACAATATTGTTGCAAAGAAGGACGGTATGCAATTTGGAGGGGATCTTGCGGCCTTCTGGTTGGCAGAATTGCAGGTTTGCAACCTGCTGTCAGTAGAGCTTTCAGAAGCTGCTGTGGTATAACTTACAGATGGTACACACTGCTGCAGCTGTGCGTCAGTGATGAAGTTTGTGAATTGATGCCAATCAAGTAGGCTGCTTTGTCCTGGATGGTGTTAAGCTTCTTGAGTGTTGTTGGAGCTGCACTCATCCAGGCAAGTGGGGAGTATTCCATCAGACATCTGACCGGTGCCTTGTTAATAGTGGACAAACTTTGGGGAAACAAGTGGGAGAGTTATTTGCTACAGAATTCCTAGCTACTGGTGATCTGCATTTACTTTTTTTTTTGCTCTATTTTCTGCAGATAATCCAATCATGTACAAAGTAGAAGGGAATCGACAAGCCTTAAAAGTGTTCTTCCACCTTGAGAGCTACAATTTTGTTCAGCTTCCTCAGAGATTAAAGAGTGGAGGAGGTCTTAAAGTTCACCCAGTACTCTTTACACAAGGTCTTGGATACTTCCCACATAGTTTACCAATTTCTGCCTTTTTTTTCTGATATAGCTTAGAATTCCTAAATCTGAGAAATGAACATGTCTTTCCTATTTAGCAATGGAAAGTATGGAAGGATATTACTACACAGACAATGTGTCCGTGGAAGAATTCCAAGCACAGATCAATGCAACATCTCTTGACAATGTAAAACGATACGTGCAAAAGCTCAGGTAAGGACAAGATCGTCCTAAATTTTGTGATGAATGTTTCTAGTTGATACGTGCTTTTTAATATTTAAATTCATTCAAAAGAGATCATTTGCAACAGAATATCTTGCCAAACCTTTCAGCAGTGAATAAAGAGTAAAAAGCATATTGTGTAACTCTAACTTGCATCATGATAATACTGATTCTAGCTATTTTATAAGCTGTTTGTTGACGTAAATCTAAGTGATATCTTTGTATCATTAATAACAGTTGGCATAGAGGTTACAAGGGGCCATGGGGGTAGATGGAGGCACAAGTTGTCATGGAGGGTATGAAGTTCATTGGTGGCTGGGGAGGTGTGTGAGTTTATAAGGGGAATGGATGATGGCTGAGGGTTAAACGGCCGAAAGGATGAGAAAACAGCTGGAACGAGTTCATAGATGAACCAAGGCAGTCCTTTCAAACAGCTCCCCTTGGCTGCCCTTATAGCTGCCTTCGATCTGTCTGAAGAGGCGCGGGACCGGTTCTGAAGAAGGGTCATTGGACATGACATGTTAACTCTGTTTCTCTCTCCAATGATGTTGCCAGACCTGCTGAGTTTCTCATGAACTTTATGCTTTTATTGGCGCAGGACCAACTCTATTTCACACCCTACCCCTTCTATCCAAAACCTCTTCTGCTCCCCTCCAGGAGAGAAAGTGTTGCCAATTTGGACTCCCTTGCCTGAAATGGGTGCTCCCAGAGGGAAATTCCCCATCTCAAGCTGCCTTCCCTAAGGTGCAGAAATATGACCCCATGACTTCATGTTCTATTACTCTCTAACCAGGATAATCAGCCATTCAGGATCTACCCTATCAGGTTTAAACAGTTTTATATTTCTTCATTATTCCAAACTCAAGTGAATTTAGGAACAGCTTTGATGAAGAGTCATCTAGACTCGAAACATTAGCTTGCTTTCTCTTCATGGATGCTGCCTGACCCGCTGTGATCTCCAGCATTTTTTGTTTTCAAGTGAATTTAGACTGATTCAACTCAATTTTTTGTCTAGAATCAGTAAATCTGGGGAAGCCTTCTTTGTACTTACTCCGCAGCAAGGATCTTCCTTGAATTGGGAGACCAAAATGTACACAGTACTTTTAGATGTGGTCTCAGGGCTCTTTACAATCACAGCAAAAGTCCCTTAGCTCCATGATCCAACTTAATCACCTTTCTAATTGCTTGCTGTATGTTATGTTAATTTTCTATGATTCGTGCATCTAAATTCCTCTGAATACCGAGATTTATACGTCTAAGCTTTTTAACAAAAAATTCCTGCTTTTCCGTTTTTTCCTACAAATGCGAGTAGTCTGACATTTCTTTCTTCACATGGTACTGCAACTGGCATTGCCCATTCACCTCAAATTGTTTATATCCATCTGCATCCGTCTTTTTGCATCCGTCTCTCGGCTTGCTTTCCCGTCTGGCTTTGAATTGGTGGCAAACCTGAATGTATCTGTGTGGGATTGCTTCGTACAGCTGGTGTAGACTGAGGCAAGCAAAGTGACACCCTTCTCATGACAGCAAGATTTCACAGGCAGAATTTACTGCAGCCTGGTGTGGCTGGAAACATGGTGGCCAGGCCCGGCTAAATGGCAGGAGAGATCGTGTGCCGTTCTGCTGCAGCTCTGTCAGCAGCAGGTAGCCACCCACGCCAGAAATCAATAATGACCCAAGTATCCCTGACTTCACAGGAATTTAGTGGGAGCTCAGGGACTCCATGAGAGTTGCTCAGCTTTTCTGACCTTCAAACTCCTTTGTGTTTGCTTGTGGCTGAGGTGTATCTGTTGGGGAAGTGGATGGTGGGGAGTGCTGTCAGCCTCTCTCTGTGTTCAATTGAGACACCTAGCATTGGGAAATGTCCCCAAAGAAACCTCAAACCTGTCAGACAATGATGAAATCTGAGGCTCCTCCGCCATTGTATCACAACTTGCCTTACTTGCCTGAGGCAGTCACATCTTCTTTTTCTCAACTCCTAACTACCTAACCAACTCTAAACCATTGCCTAACCTAATGAATGCGGCTACCTGCTGAGGCCAAATGTCAAGGCATCTCTTGTCCCAGTGTCTTGCAACCTTGGTCCCCAAGGGCAACTAGGGACGGGCAATAAATGCTGACCAGCCAGCGATGCCCACGTCTCACGAAGAATTAAAAAAAAAGTTCAACGTGGCAAGGCAGTGGTCTAGTGGTGTCATCAATAGTTTATCAATCCAGAGACCGAGGGGGTTGTGGGGACCTGGATCCAAATCCCACCACGGCAAATAGTGGAATTTGAATTCAATAAAAAAACCTCTGGAATTAAGAGTCAAATGATACCCATGAACCCATTGTCGATTGTTGGAAAAACCCATCTGGTACATTAATGTCCTTTACGGAAGGAAACTGCCATCCTTACCTGGTCTGGTCTACATGTGACTCCAGACACAGCAATGTGGTTGACTCTTAGACTGCCCTCTGGGTAATTTAAAGGTGGGCAATGAATGCTGGCCCTATCCAGTGATGTCCTTATCCCATGAATGAATAAGAGAAAAGGTCTGGCAGCATCTGTGATAAGAAATCAGAGTTAACGTCCTGTCACCCTTCCTCAGAACACACATCCCATGGATGAATTTAAAAAAAGCTCAACAACTCTGAGCCAAAGTTTCTCAATTACAGATACTGCTCACAGAAGTAGTTGATTGTGATCACATTGCTATCTACAAAGCCCCACGTGCTGTAAATGTAATACATCTCCTACAAATCAACCTCGAATAAAACAAAGAACTGTGGATACTGGAGGTTCGTTTAAAAAAAACAGAAATTGGAAGAAAACAGAATGAACATTTCCCTCCTTCAGAAAATGCTGCCAAACTTGTTGAGTTTTTCCAGCAATTTCTGTTTTTGTTACAAATTTGTCTCCATTTTTTTCCCATCTGATTAAAGTTTTTTTGTCATAAATTGAGTTGGTTTATTTTTAGGGTTTTGAAAATTAATTAATGTAGCTCATTTAAATATTAATGTAGTGAAGTATTTATGGCAGGCTCCTAGTATGCATCGCTCCCAGATGCAGAGATTCACCAAAACTGTATTGTTCTCTAAACCTGCTATCCTGCACCTCACCAGGTTCAGGATGTTAATAAAATCAAAAAGTTCTGGGAACGCATGGGCCAGGCAGCACCTGTAGAGAAACTAAGAAAACATTTCAGGTCACTTCCATCAGAAGTGGACACTGAATGCTGTTGGAAAATCTCTGGTACACAATTTAGTGATCAGAGTTCTTTATCTTTGGTCCTTAACTTATCTTAGTCTGTACTTATTTGTAGGTACTTACCTCATACTCTATTTTAAGCTTCTCTTTCTTTGTACTTCGCAAAGAGCTCATTCTAATTAAATTCTCATGTTACAATGACTCAGTCAGTATCCATCTTACAGTAATTACTCCCTATTCAGCAATCCACTTAGAATCTGATGAACTGCTGGCTGGTTTGCAGTTTTCAAAGTTCTGAGTTGAATTCAAAATATTGGCCAGAAATTATGATTAGCACATGGTAGCTTCTGCAGATTAGTAGATTAGAGTTGTGTGTTGGGATTGTGTGGACTTTCTTTGGAGCAAATATCCAACATCTGTACCCCTCGAAAAAGACACTTAAAATCAGACAGTTCTGAGGACTCCAACTCACTGAAACTTGGAAGCAGAAGTTGGAGGATTAAAAACTACTAAAACTGTTGGGTACCTGTTAAGTGACCACCCCCGACAATACCACCACCCACCCACCCCCAAAAAAACCTGACAACCCCACATCTTCTGTTTAATGACCACCCCTGTCCTGACCAAACAATCCCCTTAATAACCCAATACTACCACTGAGCTGACACTCTGCTGACCTGACCTCATCGAACCTAACCACAACTCTTCCCATAAAACCACCCCTTCACTTCAACCAAGTGACAAACCCCACCCTCGACCCAATTCCACCTCTACTCCCTGATCTGTCTCCGTAAGATGCAAATCCCGTCCACCACACTTCCCAACTGAATTCCTTGATCTATCCTAAACACTCATCCACTTCCCTGACATCCTATTCCTCTCACTCCGGTGGCATCCTACACCCTGCCTCTAACTGGCATCAAACCTGCTCACCCACCTGTTACTCTTTGCTTCTATCCAAATGCACTCACTCAGCTGCTTCCTGACCTTGCACTTCGCTTACATACCCAACTCTTCTCAGTCGTAGTGTCAGAGACTACAGGACATTCAAACTCCAGAATACTTCACCTGCTGTTGGAAATGAGGATGTAATTTCTGCATTTGGCTCTAATACTCCCTGTGAGCATTCCTGGATTGGTCACTGCTGTTTTGTAACAGGAGGCTTCTGAGCAGGAAATTCGGGGGCAGAACTGATCACGGTGTAAGTGTACATATTTTTGCCCAGTTGGGATCAGAGAGAGGGTTTCCAACCACTGAATGGACCATTCTAATCTAACGTTGATTTTGCTTTTGTGCTCCTCCTGTGCAGCTGTAACCTTGTATGCCTCACTCTGTCTAAACACCCAATTATCTGTATGTCCTTGTATGTTCTGATCTGCCTGTACTGCTCGCAAAACTAAACTTTTTACCATACTTAGGTACATGTGACAACAATTAATCAAATCAAATCAAATCAAATCAACCCTGATTCAAAAATCTGGACCATTGACACCAAAGACTGGATTTCATAATTAGATGAAATACAGCATCTCCCTTATATTTAAACTCCAGGATAACTGATGCATGACCTACACTAGTCATATTTCTTTGCTGATTGCAGATCACCTTCTGTTTTGGAGATAATGAAAATTGTCGACCTTAAACACCCCATGGACAAATAACTGGTGCAAACCAAGTTGACAAAACTGTTTTAAGTGTAGAACGTTCTTGAATGGTACCCAAAGTTACCTCATTAGATGTGGGGCCCCCTAAAACCAAGATGTCTAGGCAGAACAAGTGTATGGAGGCTGAGGTCATCGTGGATGGTCTACATAGCACCAAACGTTAGTGGCAAGAGAGTCCAGATACTTAGTTATCTTCATGAGATCTTGGATCCTCCTCTGGCATCCTGTTGTATATCTTGGGCACATTTCACTTACTACTGTTACTTGCTATTTGTTCAATAAAATCTACACAATGGCTTCCAGAGCTTTCCGAGCGTTCCTATAACTACAATCAGAACTAATAATTTTTTTTAACCTTACAAATGTTTGCAAATTTGCAAGATAAAGAGTAGTGCTTCAAGGTTTCTGTTAAAACTTTCTAGACTTGTTACTTTTTTCGTAAGCTAAGTAGGAATGCCAATTGCTTAGAGAAAGAGACCTTTTGAATTTTATTTGCAGTTTTGGGCAGTTTTGCAAAAGTTTTCAAGTGGCTCCTGAAAAAGGGAAAAGATAGTTAGATTTGTTTACACAGTAAGGGGAAGGAGTTAGTGATAGTCCTAGGCTGCAGGTGCTTGGATAAAACTCTGAAGAGATTATTTGAAACTGAGTATGTTTAAGTTAGGTATGTTTAATCCAGGAAGAAGGTAACAGATCTACCAGTCTGGGAGTCGAAGTCAAATTAAGCCCATTAAGTGTTAGATAAAGGAATTTTCTGGTGTGACAATGGATATTTTTGGGTACTGTACAGGGTTTTTGGGATCCATAAAGAAGTTTATTTTGTGATTACTGAAATTATACTTTACCTTATGTTTCAAACTCTTTAGGTTTTAGCTATAAGTGAATAGTTTGGTTTAGTCTATTTTATCTTCATTTCTTTTGCTTCAAAACTTCAGTTCTGTTGCTAAAATAAAGTGACATTATGTTCTTATGTTTTGGTGAGAAGCTACCTCATTCAAACCAAACAAAACAAAATGTGATCTATCAAGCCAGATTTCAACCTAGAATCTGATTTGTCCGTAATCATATCAGTCGGGAATCATAAAATTGTTCAAGTTCCTGGAGCACACTCCCCCTGCAAGTGCACTTCTCCTCTAGGAGTGCTGGATGGCAGAATCACCCACAGAAGCTGCCATTATTAACCACTGAGGGATTGTTAAAATAGTTGACTATTGGATTACCAAAATTTACTGGGTATAATACATACAGGATGTCTGGAGCTGGAGAAGGTGGAGAACAGACTCATTTTAAACAACTTAAAGGAGTAACTCACATTAATTTTATCAATTCTTCCTCAGAGTCTTTCTATCATGTGAAAGGCCAGCATTTTATTGCTGATCACTTAGGATAATGGGCTTTGTCAGGTCAAAATTAACTTCTCAATTAAGTTCCGAAGTTGAAACGAGCTCAGTTTGAGGACTTTCCATATACTGTAGAACTTAGCAAAATCAATTAAAATTGAATCTGGGATCCTGCTCATGACTAATTGGGTCAGTTGCTGTTGAAGGGTTATCTGTTCTGTGACAAAGGTTAAAGGCATCAATACAAAGGTACCAATTTGTGGCAGGATATTCAACTACAGTGTGGACATTCTGAACTTTCAATGTACTTTACTTCAACTTGATAAACTGTACTCCTGAATTTATCTACTCTGTATATGTTTATTTAACACTTTCTGGGAACTCTTTCTAATGGCTTCACTCTTTCAACAGGGCTTTCTATCTCGTCAAATCAAATTTGCCTCCGAATTCATCCAAAGCAGCTGCAATAGATAAGGTAATTAAGACAAACATGAAAATCTTCATATTTAAAACCCAATGAATTTCATTCATTCCCTGAATGGATTAAAATTTGGAAAATTGTTATTAGCTGCAAAAATGTTTAGTTTGTTTTAAAAAGTAGAAGCTAACGTCAAATTTTTAAAGGAAAATAAATGCCTTTAATTTCCTTGCACAGTCCAGAAAGTTTTATGCAGTTGTGACTGACTAACTTATGTCCTTCATCAGCTTACCTATTATAACTTGCTGCCCCTAATCCGCATGATGAGACAGTATTGACTTTAGTGTTGTCTTCCTTCTGCTTGTAGTTTATGCGGCCTTTCAATACATTGGATGAACTTCATCGGCTGATGGAATCCTTTATCAGGTCAAAACGTACAGCATCCTGTGCTTATACAGCCTGCAGTGCCTCTGGTGTTGGCTTAATGTCAGTTTCTTCTGAGCTTTGCAGTCGCTTGGGGGCCTGCCACATCATGATGTGCAATAGCGGAGTTCACCGGTATGAGAGTCTGTCTTTTACAATCATTAGAAACTTTACGGATAATAAAGTCACCTTTTTTTCTGATCCATGAGATGTAACTTAATATTTCCATTTTCAGAAACAAAATCACTTCACTGATTATGCCAGAGTTGTAAACCAGAATTTGAAGTTTCTTGATGTCGGTGTTCATTCATAGAATCCCTACAGTGTGGAAACAGGCCCTTTGGCCCAACAAGTCCACACTGAACCTCAGAGCATCCCTCCCAGACCCATCCCCCTATAACCCTATAATCTACACCTCCCTGAACACTATGGGCAATTTAGCATGGCCAATCCACCTAACCTGCACATCTTTGGACTGTGGGAGGAAACCAGAGCACCTGCAGGAAACCAGCACAGACACAGGGAGAATGTGCAAACTCCACACAGACAGTCACCCGAGGCGGGAATTGAACCCGGGTTCCTGGTGCTATGAGGCAGCAGTGCTAACCACTGTGCCACTGTGCCACCGTGCCGCCCAAATCATGTCATGTGCAATTGGTCCTTTAAGAAGAGTAATTGTAGAATGATGGGACCTTGTTTGGTAGAGGTACAAACCTAACTATGGAACCTCTCCTGACTGGTTTTCTTCTGCCTAAAACCATTTCCATGATTTATTGCTGGAGAAGATGATGGAAATTAGGATAGCATGGACAGGCTGTGCTTGTTTCGCTTGGCTTTAGAATGAGTATTGATTTGATTGGAGTATATAAGATTCTGGGTGGTCTTGACAAGATGGACATGTTTTCTTTTGTGAGTGTAGACTGGGAACCATTGTTATAAAATTAGGATAGAGCTGAGGAGAATGCTTCTGTAACTTTGGAACTCTCTGCCTCAGCAGGTGGTGGAAATAGATTCATTGACTATTTTAAGGCAGAGATTCTTGTTAGGCGAGGGAATGAAAGACCTGGACAGCCTACAGTCTTGGGCTGACAAGTGACAAGTAACATTCACACTACACAAGCACCAGGCAATGGCCGTCTTCAACAAGAGAGAATCGAACCATCACTCTTTGACATTCGATGGCATTCCCATTGCTGAATCGGAACTGGGAGCTTTGTGGGATTTACCATCAACCAGAAACTGAACTGGAATAGCTGCATAAAAACTGTAGCTACAGGAGAAGGTCAGACGCTCGGAATCCTGCAGTGGGTAACTCAACTCCTTACTCCCAAAGCCTGTCCACCACCTAAAAGGCACAAGCCAGGAGTGTGATAAAATACTCCCCACTTGCCTGGATGAATGCAACTCCAACAACACTCAAGAAGCTTGATGCCATCCAGGACAAAGCAGTCTGCTTGATTGGCACTACATCTGCAAACTTTCACTTCTTTTACCACCAACGCTCAGTAGCAGCAGTGTGTACTATCTACAAGATGCATTGCAGAAATTCTTCAAGGCTGCTTAGACAGCACCTTCCAAACCCATGACCACACCATCCAGAAGGACAAGGGCAGCAAAAACATGGGAACACCACCTCCTGTAAGTTCCCTTCCAAGTCACTTGCCATCCTGACTTGGAAATATATCACCATTGCTTCAGTTCTGAACTCCTTCCCTAATGGCAGTGCGGGTGTACCTACAGCGCATGGACTGTAGTGGTTCAAGGCAACAGCTCACAACTACCTTCTCAAGGGCATGGGACATAGAGATGGGCAACAAATGCTGACTCAGCAATGATGTCCACAACCCATGAAAAATGTTTTTGAAAGAAATGGAAATGTGGAATTTGAAAGTGAGCGGCAATGATCTTGTTGATAGAGTGGGCTCAAGGGGCCAAATGTTTTACTTCTCCTATTTGGGATATTTGTATGCTATCTAATATGGTCATAATATGGTGGTGGTACGTCATTCCAGATCTCACAGGGGAACTTCTGTTATGATAGCATATATAGTATTGTGGAGTTTTGTCTAGTGATAGTAGAGGCTTCTGCATCAGTTTCATTACATAGTTGACCAGGAATTTCAGTTTATGTTACTGCCAACTGGTGTGTGTATTGGTAGGATTTACAGCTTGATAATCAGACCTGCTTAGCTGTTACCAAGGCGTCTGTTTTGGTCATTATGTCCTGGGGTGCAATTTTAACGTCGTGCTTCTGACTCAGAGGTAGGGACATTATCCATTGTGTCACCATACCTCCATTGGGCATATTGTAATAGGATTCAGATGGTGGCATAATGTCTGACAGTTAATTTCTCATCATTTGATATTCAATAACTCTGGTTCGCTTCAAGGTTACAACATGTTTATGTTACAAGAGTGGTGTCAAATTTCAAAAGGGCACATTGACTAAGGCAACTTGATGAGGTGGGATGACCAAATCTAGAGCCTGTCGGATGTCAAGAAGATTATAGGGCAAGATAAGGCAGAAAAGGAAAGCTAATGTCTAATGCCACGAACTAAAGAAAGGGAATGAAAAATATTGGCAAGCAAACTCAAGGTCAAGCCAAAGATGCTTTATGGATGCATTAGGAGTAAGAGGATAATTAAGTAAATAACAGAACCTATATTCAAAAAAAGGCAAAAAAAGTAACCTTTATGTAGGGCAGATGTTTCTTACTGAGTCCTTAACATCTGTCTTCACAAAAGAGGAGGACAATACAGATACTGTCTTCGTGGGAACTATGAAGTATTGAATATAATAAACAGAGAGAGTGAGCGGAGCTATTAATGGGTTTCGCACTCTTGACAGCAGATACAGGAACAGGCTCAGACAAAATGAGGCTGTCAGTGGAAGCTAAGGAGGAAATAAAGAAGTTGTGACCATCATTTTCCATTCCTCAGCTGACAGAGGTATGGTGCTGGAAGTTAGGATGACTGCTAACATTGTGATTTTGGTCAGCACAATGTGGTGTTCCACTTGGAGCTGGTGTACTTGGCCAGCTTCCTGGGCAATATGGTCTGGATCTCCCGGGAGCCGAACGTGTTGCGCTTGATGTAATGGACCAGGCTGGAAGCCTTCCCCATGATGTGCTCGAAAATTTCGTTGATGCACGAGTTCATGATGTTCATGGCCTTGGAAGAGATGCCGGTGTAGGGGTGAACATGCTTCATCACTTTGTAGATGTGGATGGAGTAACTTCCTTTCCTGGAATTTTTCCTCCTCTTGCTGCTCTTCACTGGCAGTGTGTTCACTGCTTTCTTAGCACTCTTCTTAGCAACTTGTCCTCTCCTTTCGTCAACCGTGATGACAGTCAACTATATGGTGTGTTCGTTTAAAAATAGAGATTAATAGATAGAGGGGAGATTTAGTTGAAATGTACATTGTGAGGCGCCTGGATCAAATGGATTAGAAATGACCTATTTACCTTAGCAGAAAGGTCAGTGACTCACAGGCATGGATTTAAAATGATTGATGGAAAGGTCAAAGTGGACACAAGGAATAGTGTATTGACCCAGAAGCTGATAGGAATCTGGTACTTACAGCCTGAGAGGATAGTGGAGATAGAAACCTTCAACTCATTTACAAGGGGTTTCAGTATGCATCTTACATTTTGTAAACTGCAGGGGAATGGACAAAGGCAAGGAAGTATGTTTAGGCAGCGAGTGGTTCATTTATCACCTGCACAGACATGATGGGAAAAGTGATCTCTTTCTGTATGGTAAATTTCCTGTGATTACTTCCACCAAAGTAAAAAAAAATTAAATCGTTGGCAAATTATTGAAATCAATTTTGAGGGACAGGAAACTGTCAGTTAGAAGGGTACATATTCATAAAGGACGATCAGTACAGATTTGTCAAGAGAAAATTGTGTCTGACTAACCAGTTTCAATTTTTTTGAAGCAGTAACAAGGAGAATTGATGAGGACAGTGCAGTTGATGTGGGACCTGAATTTTAGCAGGCTTTTGGCTAGATCCCACATAGCAGACTGGTTAAAAAAAAAATGAAAGCCTGTGGGATCAAGGGGAATGTAACAAGCTGGATATAAAATTGCCTCAGCAGCAGGAAAGGAAGGGTCATTGTTAATTGCTCTTCTTCTGGCGAGAAGGCCTTTTCCAGTGGAGTTCTGCAGTGTTTAATGCTAGATTCCCTGTTTTTATCTGTGGGTATATGTTACTGATTTGGGGTTAAGTTAGGGAGGTATAATGGAGAAGTTTGCAGACGACACAAAATTGACCATGTGGTTGAAAGCAAGGAGGACAGTTGTAGATAGCTGGAAGATATAAATGGACGAGTCAGGTAGGCAGAAAACTGGCAAATGATCTTCAGCCCAGAGAAGAATGAAGTTGATGAGATTGGAGATGTCAAACAAAGCAAAACATCAAACAGTTAATGAGACAATAATGAGACGTGTGAAGAAAGGAAGGGACCTTGCAACAATTGGTCACAGATCCCTGAAAGTTGCAACACAGGTTGATAAAGGTGGTTAAGAAAGCATATGGAATGTTCTCCATTATTAACTGCAATGTAGAATATGAGAGCAGGGAGGTCATCCTGCAAGTATAAATCATTAGTTAAACTACAACTTGAGCACCAGGTAGAGTTCTAGTTACTTCATCACAGAAAGGATGTAATTTCAGCAGACAGGGCACAGAAAAGATTTCTGAGGCTGTTTCCAGAATGTGGAAAAGTGAAAATATGAGGAAAGATTGGTTAGACTCCAATTTCTCTGGCCCCGAAAGCAACTGGTGAAACAGAAAGGGAACATGCCATAAGACCATAAAACATAGAAGCAGAAATTGGGCCATTCAGCCCATTGAGTCTGCTCCACTATTCAATCATGGCAGATAAGTTTCTCAACCCCATTCCGCCACTTTCTCCCCATAACCCTTGATCACCTTGACAATCAAGAACCTGTCTATCTCTGTCTTAAATATACTCAATGACTGGGCCTCCGCAGCCTTCTGTGGCAGTGAATTCCATCGATTCACCAATCTCTGGCTAAGGAATTTTCTCCTCATCGCCAACTTAAAAGGTCTTCCTTGTACCCAAAGGCTGTGTCCTCGGGTCCTAGTCTCATACTTATTGGCATGTGTG